TACTATCCCTCCCTGAAGGGACAGAATACTTCATTGTCTATTGTGATGCATCCAATCAAGGACTCGGATGTGTTCTGATGCAGCGAGGTAAGGTCATAGCCTATGCCTCGAGACAGCTGAAGACACATGAGGTTAACTACACCACCCACGATCTTGAACTAGGAGCAGTTTTGTTTGCTCTGAAGATCTGGCGTCATTACCTATACGGTACAAAAAACATGATCTTTACGGACCATATGATTCTACAACACATTTTCGACCAAAAAGAGCTCAACATGAGACAACGACAGTGGGTTGAGCTACTCAGCAATTATGAATGCAAAAGTCGTTATCATCCGGGTAAAGCCAATGTAGTAGCCGACGCCCTAAGTCGGAAAGAATATTCTGGTCGTAGGGTCAAATCTTTGACTCTAACTATCCATTCACACTTGTCCACGCAAATAAAGGAGGCTCAGCTCGACGCTGTGAAACCTGAAAATGTGGCTGGTGAATCCCTTAGAGGAATGGATAAGAACTTAGAAGTCAAGGGTGGCGGAGCCATATACCTCATGGATCGGATCTGGACACCGAAACACGGTGGCTTCATAGACTTGGTCATGATGGAAGCTCACAACACTCGTTATTCCGTCCACCCGGGTTCAGATAAGATGTATCTGGAACCTAAAAAGTTATACTGGTGGCCTAACATGAAAGCAGATATTGCTACCTTCGTGAGTAAATGCCTTACTTGCGCAAAGATCAAGGTCGAATACTAGAAACCCTCTGGTCTCTTACAACAACCGAAGATACCAAAATGGAAGTGGGAGTGGATCACTATGGACTTCATAACCAAGTTGCCCAAGACGACGGGTGGACTTGATTCATTATGGTCATCGTCGATAAACTGACCAAGTCTGCACACTTCTTGCCAATCAAAGAAACAGACAAGATGGAGAAACTCACACGAACATACATTACGGAGATTGTAAGGTTGCAAGGTGTTCCATTATCTATCATCTCGGACAGAGATAGTAGATTCACTTCGAGGTTCTGGCAGTCATTACAAACTTCCCTAGCAACTACGCTGGACATGAGTACAGGCTACCATCCACAGACCGACGGGCAAAGTGAGAGAACTATCCAAACCTTAGAAGATATGTTGCATGCCTGTGTGATTGACTTTGGAAAAGCTTGGGATACCCATTTACCCCTTGTCGAATTTTCCTACAACAACAGTTATCACACGAGCATCAAGGCAGCTCCATTCGAGGCCCTCTATGGCCGAAAGTGCAGATCCCCTTTGTGCTGGGCTGAAGTGGGTGATACCCAGTTAGCTAAGGGATGACTTCCCTAAAGCACTCTCACGGGTCCGGAGATCATTCGGGAAACGACAGAGAAGATCGTTCAAATTCGTGAACGATTGAAAGCCTCTATAGACCGACAGAAAAGCTACGATGACAAGCGAAGGAAACCATTGGAATTCCAGGTAGGCGACCGATTCCTACTGAAGGTCTCACCCTAGAAGGGCTTGATACGCTTTGGAAAGTGTGGGAAGCTCAATCCAAGATACATAGGACCTTCTGAGATTCTTGCGAGAATCGGCCCTGTAGCTTACAAACTCAATCTACCGCACGAACTCAGTAACGTACATCCTACCTTCCACATCTCGAACTTGAAAAAGTGTATGTCCGACGAGACTCTTGTTATCCCACTCGACGAGATCGAGATCAACGAGAGCCTCAAATTTGTGGAGGAACCAGTAGAGATCATGGACCGAGAGGACAAGCAAACAAAGCAGAGTCGTATCCCGATAGTCAAGGTGCGCTGGAACGCAAAGCGCGGACCTAAATTCACTTGGGAACGAGAGTATCAAATGAAACTGAAATACCCTCACCTTTTCGCTTACCTATTTGTAACTTCTTAATTGCTTAAATTATAATTTCGGGATGAAATTCCTTCTAACGGGGGATGATGTGACAACCCGATATTTCCATTATGTACAAACTATATCACTTCAATAGAAGTTATAGCAGTCACAGTTAATTTTAAAACTTTTTCGTGTAAGTTTGAGTAATTCAGGGTTTACACTTCAAGAAATATCAGGAGAGTGGGTGCACTAGGGTTTTGTGCAACATTGTTATTCCAACACTCTATTATATTAGAGATTATTTCAGGAATAACAATATTTTCTGCCAAAAATATCTCAGGACTATAAATAGAATTCTGAACCAAATTCATTTATTATTCACATTTCCGACTAGAGAAAAGCCATTTTCTCTCTCACAGATCTTCGGGTTTTTATACCAAAACGTGAGTAACTCTTTCTAGTAATGTTAGAAAGCTTTATATGTGTTCTTAACATGATTTAGAAAGCTAAATCACTAGATTTAGGAGCCTACTCCCCAAGGTGTTCTTGGGCGGTAAACTCCCGAAACGAAGCCTAGACTGTCCCACGTGATATACTATTGCCTTGGACTTGTATAGGAGTGTGTTAGGGACATGAAATCAAGCAAGAACCACCCAAGTTTGGGAGTTCACGGCCCAATAGATTTCGTAGGCCGTAAACTCCAAATTCATGCTCAAAATGGTGATTTTAAGGCACCTAAGGCCTTAGTCTTTTACCTAGACTTGTTCCCAATAAATCAAGGGCCTTAAACACAACAAAATCACCTTACAAAGTGATTTTACGGCCATGACATGGTTCATGGGCCGTAAACTCATTAAAGGGGGCACCAAAGTGTGTCAAGGTCTTAAACCATTCCAAGAATTAAAGCCTAGAACCTATACCACTTGTGCATGAGACTTGAAATCATCCAAAACACCCATCATTAAGAGTTTACGGCCGTAAACTCTAAGGGAAATGGTCTTAGGGCCATAAACTACTCAAAGTAGTGTTTCAAGGTCTTAAACCATTCCAAGAATTTAACCACCAAGTTGAAATAATTCTAGGAATCATTTGGAACTTCAAAACACACAATACCCCCATGGTTGGGAGTTTACGTCCGTAAACTCAATAGTTTACAACCGAAAACTCCATGTGTGTTGGTATGTGAAGAGTAAACACATATATGGGGTCCCTTGGAACCCTAAACACAAGTGCCTTGTCCCACAATGGCTTAGATGCAATCCTTAGTGCTTAAAAGACTTATATAAAGTGTTTATTATGTTCTAGGATGTCTTAACATTATCAATTAGTAATTTAAGACTAATTGAGTGCATATATGTGGGATTATATGTTCATTAGGATCGTAGTGTGTGTACAAGTCCTCACGTGACACCTAACAATCCTACATCGTCCAGTTCATCTAAACTACCATCTACAAGTGAGTTCATACCCTTAATCAATGTTTTAAATGATTTTAAATGCTTTAATGGGGGGATACAAGTAGAACACAACATGTTATTAAATCATTTATATGTATTTTATAATTGTGTTTTCATTCAACAGATTTCACATACTACAAAATGTAATGCATGAAATGGTTTTCTATCTTTAAAATACTTTGTTATCAAATGTATTACTTTTGAAAAGTTTATCAAAATGACATCAAGTCACTTTTATGTTTGGTCAAAAACCCTTGGATGTCTTAGGAAACCATTTTACATTCTTGAACTAAACTATGCATGTGCACTTATATTGTATATATGTATTGATGTTATAGTTTACATCTTTCATTTAGTTTCCCACACACTTGAGTAGTAAGAGTGTATAAAGCTACTTGATCAACCAATTACATTTTAGTAAATTATCATAGGGATAATTTGAAGTTATCAAACATTATTCCTATTACACGGAATCACACAAGAGTCAGTTCATTCGTGAGTCTATACCAGTACATTACCTGATACATGAGTACATTTACATGTGATTACATGATACATGAGTACGTTTACATATGCTTACATGATACATGAATACGCTTACATGAACACATTACATGAATACTGTTACATGGATACGTGTACCTAAAGTTATTTGAAAATTTTATTCGTACCTTCTGTGTAAATTTTCCTGCCTATCCCTAGTACCTCGGGATATCTAGATGGGACCCTATCCCTAGTACCTCAGGATATATGTACGGGACTAACCATTCCGGAACTCAGCTGTTAGAACCAGTGGGTGATGAACATCTACGGATGCCTACGGTTATTACTTATATTAGGATTCAATTATGGGACTAACCCTTCCTCCGCCCTGCTACTGCTACAGAGGACAATTGGACAATCTTCGGATGTTCATTAGGTTATATATGCCGTGTTAGCCCTAGTACCTCAGGATAACATTTACATATGTCGAGTTAGCCCACAGTACCTCGGGATAAGACTTACTTTAGTACATTTTCCTATTTACTTTATTTTGTGATATATTCACATAAACGACGAGTTAGACTAAGTACTTTTAGTACTAGTCATTAGAAAGGAAAAACTATCATTTTACTTACAAAACATCCGGGTCTTGGTAGAAGACTACATCTCACACTAATAGAAAATAAGGGATTTTCTAGGGCTTTTCATACTTACATCAACATTTTCATTTAAAGGTTTCCATGACTTTTTAAAATAGCTTTTAGTGAGCAAGACAATGACACTTAAATACTTATGAATTCACCAGCTTTAAAGTTGATACTCTGTTTCAAAAGAACTTGTATTCTCAGGTCATCAGTAGATAGGTACGGTGGCCAGGTTTTAAGAAGACGGAGCATACAAGTCTCGTCATTTATTTTGATTATATTTTTGGTTTCTCATTACAATGAAAGAACACATATATATTATAATGTTACTTATAATGCAATGGATGATGTTGTTTCTTGTTTACTATTTTACACTGTTGTGATACTGTACATGACGTCCTCCACCCCTGAACGTTTCCGCCGTTCGTGGTTTTGGGGTGTGACAATACATAAAGTCACTCCATCTGTCTTGGGGATGTGACAAAATGGACTAAACACTAAATACACAATGACACAATCTATATGACCCAACAATCTCCCCCCTTTGCATTAATTGAGGTAGGAGTCTCTTCACAGTTGTGTTGGTTTCTGCATCTTGAAGAGCTTGGGCATGATACTAAGGAGAGTACTCCAAATTGATATATACCATCTGATCATATATGAGTAGCTCTTATTTGCAGCATCATCATTCTCTTTGCAACTACCTGTTATTTCCAAAACGTAATTCAAGGAAGTAGTGGAAAACAAGTGTTTATAAGGTAACAAAAAAACACATTTCTTCTTGTCTCCTCTTTCTTTTGATCCCCGCTGAAACATCACACTCCAGTTATCTTTTTCAATTCTCCCCATCTTCATCTTTTCAATGTCCTTCGTAGAATCTTTGAGAAGAAATATTTGTTTCTTTCGCAACATCAAAGCTATTTCAACATCCATCTTTATTGCCTCATGGATGTACGAAATCAACATCCTCTTGATATGATCGACCTTCGGTTCATATTTCTTTTCATCTTTAATCAATAAGTGCAACACCATGATCCAGCCGTAGGGATTTAAACATGGCATGTCTTTGAGAGAGAATTCGAATATAGAATTCGCAGAACCTCAAGTTGTTTTAAATTTAACGATAACAATACTCTCCGTTTGTATCGGCCCAATAACCTTGACAACAGTTATTTTCTGTGAACGGCTAGTCTGGTATAGTGGCTTACCATGCTTCATGTAAAATCCCATCAAAGACTTATTTACACCCTCATCCAAATTAGAAGCGTTTGCAATCACCTCAAAGCTACGAAACAAAAATGATTTCGGGGTGATAGGGAAATCCAGTTGCTAGTCCAGGGTGTTCTCCAACTCAAAAGAAATAACTGGCTCTAACCAGTGAATGCCCAGATTCTCAATCACCTTTGTCAAAATATCTCCATGGACCAAGGAGGAAATAACAAATTTTAGCTTCAAGTGTTATTTGACCATCATGAAGCTCTTTCTCTTTTTCTTCTGCTTCTCTTCCGATTCGCAGATTTTCAACCAGAACATCATCACGTGCTTTGCACTTAAGCTTCGCATTTCCGTCCTCTTCTTCCTCATCATCATCATCTATTATCTTCTCTTTTCCTTTCGAACCGGAAGCTACATTATCCTGTGGTTCACTTGTTTTGAGCTCATTTTCATCATTACTACCAGTTAACTTTTCACCACCAAATGATTTGCATTGTTCTCCCCCTTGTTTTAGAGGTACAACAGACTCCAAAACACCCTCTTGACTTTATCTTATGTTCAAACCATGAAAAAATTAATTGGAAAAATGGAGCTCATCTCAAACTTAGTTCCATCAACTTTAAGAACTTAGTAGTTAACTTGGGGTTAGTAAATCTGAAGATGATTTCATCAACGTAAATTTGGATGATCATCAAGTGGTCACCATCTTTCTTGAGAAAGAAGGTTGGGTCGAACGATCCTTGTTTAAATTTAGCTTGTTTTAAAAAGCGAATAAGAGTTTCGTACTAGGCTCTTGGAGATTTGTTTACACCATAAATCGCTTTGTACACAATGCAATAGTGAATGGGATAGTTTTCGTTTATGAACCCTAGTGGTTATTCCACAACTGTTTCTTCTAGTTCCCCATAAGGCACACTTGACATCCATCTGATATACTTCAAAGCTCTTGTGCGCAACATATACCAAGAAGATGCAAACTTATTCCAGTCTTGCAACTAGTATGAATGTTTCCTTGTAATATATACCTTCTTCCTCATAATACCCTTTAACTACTAACCGAGTTTCGTATGACATTTCCTTCTTTTTCTATTTTATTATGAAACACCCATTTTGGTATATGATTCTCCCTGGAGAGGACTTTTGTGGGTTACGTGAGTATTTGAATGCTCCCCTGTAGAGGTGTACCAGGTGTGGAGGTTGAAGTAGAACCCTCCCCCTTAAATGGAGCAATCATTGTCTGTTGAACTTTTGGATTTGTAGGCTCGCTATGAAGATTCTTTGCAGCTTCATCGATAATTTTTTTCAATTCATCATCCTTGTTGTCCGCTTTGTTGGATTCTAAGGATATCGCCTTTTCTAGCTCATCAAATAAATTCAAGAATTCGTCGTAGAGATTGGAGAGTGGAATCATTGTTGGATTCGGCTTGTGAATGATATCATTTGATTTATTGTCATTCTTCTGATACTTCTTTCAATACTTGTCATCGAACTTGACATAATAGGTTTGTTCTATCTTTTTAGACTTTTTGTTGAGAACCGTATATGCCTTCAGCCGACGAAATTTGACCTAAAATTACTAATTGTTACATTCTCACCCCCCCCCCCTCCTGTCAACATAATTTTGTCCCAGAATTTATCTTCTTGATAGGATATACTTAGAAAATAAGGGATACTTCTGAGTCATTTGGTCTTCGTGCTCCCAGGTGAACTCTGGTCCTTACTGAGAGTTCTAGCGTACCTATACGATGGGAATATGACTTTGTTTTAAACACTTGTTTTCCCAATCCATGAGCTCTATTGATTCCTCGTTGAAAATGGATTTTTGTGTTCACTTGGATTTCATCGATAGAAATTGCAAGCAAGTCATCGGAAAGGCACTTCTATAAGTTCAACATATGGAAGACATAGTGCACTCTGTCTAGTTTCTGTGGCAGTTTGAGTCGATAAGCAATGAGATTAATTTTGTCAAGAATTTCAAAGGGTCCTATGTATTGCAGATTTAGCTTTCCTCTCTTAGTAATTCTAACCATTCCCTTCCAAGGTGAGACCTTCAACATAAGTTCTCTAATTTAGAATTCCAAATGTTTAAATCTCAGCCTTTAATCGATCTTTAATCTGTATAATCTTCTATTTTGTCTCATGAATTATCTTAGGTCCGGTGTTTAGTGTATATCATGATTGAGTCTTGTTTAATTAGGTATCTTCAGCTTCAGCCTAGCATAACAGTGATCGACATTTCCTTCCATATAAAGCCTTAAATGGTCTAACTTTGATGTTGGTGTGATAGTCGTTGTTATAGGAGAATTCGATCAAGGGTACATGAGCATCCCAAGAGTTTCAAAAGTATATCACACAATCCTGGAGCATATCTTCCAATGGATGGATCATTCACTCTAACCATCTATTTGTGGACAGTAATCCATACTCATATCTAAGCGTATACCCAAGGACTTTAGTAATCATTTCAAAAACCAGGAGGTAAATCAACTACCTCTGTCAGAAATGATAAAGATCGGTACCTCGTGTAGCTTAATGATCTCCTTAAGGTATGCTCTTATCAAATTTTCCATCTTATATGTCTCTTTAATTAGTAAGAAGTGGGTGGACATGGTTAATCTGCCAACCTCTACCCATATAGTGTCAAAACCATTAGATGTCCTAGGTAGTTTAGTAATGAAGTCCATTGTGATCAGTTCCTAATTCCAATTTCGTATCCCTGGTTATTAAAATAGACTTGAGGGTTTATGATGTTCTACATTAAATTTAGAGTAAGTTAGACACTTTCTCACATAAGTAGCAATCAAAACTTTCATGTTCGGCCACCAATACAACCACTTTAAATCTCGATACATCTTATTGAGTCCGGATGGATGGAATATATTTTTTTGCGAGCTTCATGCATAACTAATTGAAAGACTTCAACAAACTTAGGTTTCCAGATTCAATCCATGAAGTATCATTTTTCGTCATCCCTAAGCTCCAATTGTTTATCCGTCCCTCTCAAAGCTTCATCTGGGATGTTCTCTTCCTTTACAACTTTTCATTTTTCTTCGTGTATATGTGCACTTAGGTAGGATTGGATAGTCATATTTAGTACTTGAACACGTGGTTTATCTTAGTTTTTCATCATATGATTGTATTCATGAAGTAGTTAGCTGACATTAGTGAGAGTCCTTCAGCAGTTGATCGCAGGGTGAGGTCAGGAACCTAGGAGAGCTTAGGAAGTGTTGTAGTGGGTTTGGTTGTGCTGTTTAGTGGGTACTTAGAGTACCAGTTTGAGAAGGTGACTTAGAGGATTCCGGGTAATTCTTGAGGAAAGTACGGATATGTGTGGAAGGTACTATTGGGCTCGTACTATTGAAAGCATGGGATCTATACTCAAATCAAGGACAGTCATGGAGATTCTAAGAAACCTATATGATGAGGAATTATATGGGTATGTTCTGATTATTGTACGGTTGCTTTTTAGAAAGGTGATGAGCACTCATGGTGGAGGATCTAGTTCTGTTTTAGGTGTTGGCACTTAACCGATGGATGAGCGTATGCAGGAGTTTATTTCATTGGAGATAACCTATTGTATTTTGGATCTGACTCCTATGATTTTCGGTTCGGTCAATGAGGGAATCTTGGATATTATGGAAGAGCATCATGATGCATACCATTTTAGGGTTATGGAGTTACTAGAAGAGCAACTCATGGCCTTTCGGGCTGAGATCGCTACAGGACAGTTCGGAGCACGGACTACCTCATTTGGGGAGTTCAAGTCTTGTGAAGCTCATGAGTTCTATTGGGCTAAGGACCTCATTTCTAGTAGCAGATGGATCAATGACATGGAGAATGCTCAGCAGCCGAGTTTCTACTCTAACGGAGTGAAGGTGGGATTTTCATGTTATATTTTGAGGGATCGAGCCTGTGATTGGTGGTAAGAGGTCGGTATTTTTAATCCTACTAACTTAATAACAAAGTCAAACACATGAAAGGCAGTGTACCTATCGATTAGCATTTTAGTTCAGGAAGTAGGGTATCGAACGCAGGGAGTGGCAGATTAAACTAACTACTAGTTTTATCTAAAAAACAAATAATAAAAGGAAGAGTTTTCTCTATTTTTTCAAGACTAGAAACTTAAACAATTATATAAAATTTAAACTATCGACTAAATAATCAAGAATCAAATAAATTCAATAATAAAGAAGACTTCTGTTTAGAGTTGACTCGTTTAATCCTATGGTTGATTTTATGAAAAGTGCAATGGATTAATCTGTCTTTGGCTACCAATTAAGATGATTAGGTTCACGTTCGCTATTACTAATCCTTAGAAAACTAATTAATCTAAGCAGTGGCTAGTTATCTAAATTAATGAATTTCCTAGATTATTTATTCGGGTTAACTAAGACTTGTAATGGTTAATTGAATTGGTCTTTCAATTAACCTCTTGCTGATAGTTCGTCATACAAGCTCATACATTAGTTTTCCTATTCTCTATTAACCCTACTTTCACGTTCGCTATTCCTATGCATATAACCAAAAATCATATGAGATTAGCAATTAAGAGATTGTCATGCAACTTAATTATAGATTAATTAACAGGGAATAGTAATAACTAACATATAAGGGTCTTCAACAAGCTTAACAAAACAAATCACCAAATAAAGATAATCCAAATAATAAAATCAACACATAATCACAAACTTTGTCTTTCCTAAACAAAAGAAAATAGGTTTAGTTCATGATTACAACAAAACTAAAGTTAAAAACGACTTCTAGTAAATCAAACATGGTTCAACTTAAAGAATAATAAAAGTAAACTTGAATTTTGCCTTAATCTTCTCACAATTGGATCTAGGGTT